ATCAATCTTTTAGACCGACGCAAGGTACTTAATAATTCCCGCGATATTAATTCCCTTACTGAAGTAACAAGACTACGGTATATACCGTCTTAAAATACTAACTAAAAAGTGTGAAATAAAAAAGGTAAATTAAAAAATCAAAAAACCCGACTGCTTAATTATTCTTCAAATAAAAACAAAAAAAAAAAAAACAAGTCCAGTAGTCTATAATTCTGTTAATAAGGAACAAAGCTACTTTAACAGTCGGGACCCATTAGATATTCAAGAATACATAATATTTTTCAACAGTGGGTCCCGACTGTTAAAGTAGCTTTGTTCCTTATTAACAGAATTATAGACTACTGGACTTGTTTTTTTCTTTTCAGTTTTTATTTGATGAATAATTAAGCAGTCGGGTTTTTTGATTTTTTAAATTTTTTCATAAGTTTTTCATGGAATCTTACTCAGCCAGCGCTCATGTTGGAGTAGACTGGGGTTGAAAGTAACATATTATCAACCAACTATTCATTTTCCCGAGTAGAAAGGCTAATGCCAACAGACGTTTATTAGTTTTGGAAACTTTTAATAAGCAAAATGCAGCATTATTATGTCATTATAATATATTGTTGTAAGTATGAATATAGTTCTTATTATTATTAAATTTTTTTTATGCGGCTATCGGCGGCGTAAAGTTATAACTTATATTTGCCTGACGAAATCAAGGGAAAAAATTACACTGTTTTAAATGATTGTTTATGTGGATTTTCTACGAGAGATAAGCGTAAGACCAATGATAGTAGACTTAAAGATAGTCGATCGACACGTGTGAAAAAAGCACTTCAGTTTTATCTTCTCTGCTAGACGCAATGGACTGATTCCATAATGAGAATATTCATTGATTGCAATGCGCAAGTCAATGACCTACTCACTCGTATTTCCTTCGTATTGCCTGTTCGAACGCAATAGTCACGAACAAAGTTAACAATAACATGTAGATTCACGTGATTATTCGACTCCGAAGTGATGTCTCAGTATTCAGCCTGGAAGTTTTGCAATATCTTTGGATATCAGTCGTGCTATTGGGTCGATTGTCACTGACGCGCTCTCGAGTGATGTAAACTCAGACCAAATAAAAAGTATAGACGGAGTCTGCCGAACCAAAAAGTGAAGCCGATAAAACTACGCCTCGCCGTGTACATACACAGTTACACGCACACACATGCAACGAAACTACGCCTTGGATTCTCAGTCGAGCTATCCCGACGCGCGGAGTGTGACGTAATAATAAATAACAATATTTATTAGAGAAAATGCCGAATTGTGTAGTGAAAACGTGTAAAAACCAATCTTCCAAGAATAAAAAACAGGATGGAATCACATTTCATACGTAAGTAAAGTTATAAACTGCTATTTTCAATTAATCAAAATCAAATTTGAGGTTGTCGCTTTGTAAACAAAACCTGAACGAAATGTTGCCATGATTATTCGTTACAGTTTTACCCTTTTGTTGGGTAGCGTGAAATATAACGTAACGTTATTTTATTAAATACATTGTGTGGCATACTTTTATATTATTCGAATATTGTAATGCATGGATAAACAATTACACGAAACATCTTTTTTCTTTATGTATTCGTATAAATTTTTTGGGATGTAATACATATTATATGTTTTTTTTAAGATTTCCTAATCGAGATCAAGATCTAAAAGAGAAGTGGATTGCAGTCATTCGTAAGAGTAGAAATGAACCATTGTGGCAACCAGCTTCCCGCAGCGTGGTTTGTTCGACTCATTTTCAGAGCGACGATTTGTACTACACAACAAAAGGGTTACGTCGTGTAAAACAAAATGCATATCCAAAAGTATTTTTTTTACTATTATTATGGTTACTTAGATTAATTTATATTTTAAAGATTCCAATAATTTATTTGCTAACTGCTTATTGTTTGTACAAGTCCCACCATCTATCATGTTGTGGTAGAACTACTTGCTTCAGTTTCCCCATTTTGCCGTATTATGCTACTAAATTAAAGCGAACTTACTTGAATTAAGTATCATTGTTCATTAAAAGTATTAGTACAATAGTAAAAATAATGTTAATTTGGTACTTAGCTAATTTTAAACTCAACCTTGACCGCAACTGTGCACACTAGAAAAATGCCTCATCTAATGTGCACACCGTTTTAAGATGCGTCTACTTTTTAATGGCCTTTTTGACCCAAAATTCGCGATGTTTGTGGATTTATTTTATTATGTTCTTGTATAGGAACTAGTGATTATATTTTGTGTATTCTATAGAAAATTTTATGTACATTTTAATAAAAGAAACTGTTTATCAACATTTGTATACGCTTTTCGTTTTATCGACATAAAGTTGAGATGACTGATTTGGTAGCGATTTCAAGTGCCTTGTTGCGAGTGCTTGAAACTATAAAATGTACAAACCTATTCCATCCGAGACTTGTAACTAAAGTAAAATAAACAATCCAACATGATTAAACGTCAACACATAAATCAAGGCACTTGGATCTCGCATTTGTTTTTATCAACACTTGAAACACGACCCTTTTTTTTCTGTTGCGTGTTATATTTTATAATAGGGAAGATGCATATATAATATTTATGAAAATTTTATGATTAAAATGTTAAAAAAATATAAAAGAAATGCCACTGCAACGTTTTTATTTTACATAATGTTTTTTTTTAACAATTATTACGAATTAAAAATACTTGAAACGGAACGTATTTTAAAACACCAATCAGCGTTTAGTGACGTCACTCCTGTTATGGTTATGGTTGTTAAAGTAAATATTATTTTATGGGAATATTTATTGCGTTTTTTTACATTTAATAAAAATGAAAGTTGCGTTTATCAAAGCAGACTCCAGGAATTTACCAAGAGTTAGCGTTGACATGGTTATAACTTTTTTTGTCCAAAGTGCAGAGTTTTTAAGTTTAGAAATGAAAGGGACTAAATTACTACGGTATGTAAAAATCGTAGTTGTTAAACTTCGTATTTTATTCAGCGGCTTCTACAAATCTTACGGCGATAATGCAATCGGCTATGTCCAAATTAAAAGAGATGGAAAATGATGTACAGTAAAAGGTCGAGTTTGAGATGTTAATGGATGGATACATTTTAAATTTTTCAAAAAAATATTTCGAAAGTCGAAAAAATATGCAAAAGTATGAAATTTTAAAGCCAGCAACGAACAATTACGACCAGTGACAGACAGGAGTGACGTCATCGCATCCATAGGTTCGTTTTCGCGCGAAAATTTAAATTGTCAATTTAAAACCGCATTTTTTCCGATAAATCACAATGTTTTAATTTTTTAATATATCTGTGGTTTATTCTACATGGAATTCTTTAAAATGAAAACAAAAATAAAAATATTGCATCTTCCCTATTGTATTTGGTAAGTTATTATATACATTCATTTATATATAGTACATTCTATATGTACAAAAACCTGGATTTATAATTTGCAAATTTTGAAAATATACCTCATTTTACCTATTTAAACGACTTTTTTTATCTTTCCTGAGTTTACCATAATGTAATTAAAATAAATTATAGACATGACGCATTGTGTACACACTGTTTTATTGAAAATTTTATGGAGAATCCAAATATACGTTTGTGAAGGGTATTTTTACAAAATAACAGAGAAATCGGCAGAACAATGCAATCGTTGCCACCCACGGGCGGGCGGTCCATAAAGAAGTCCGGCACTTGTAGGTGAGAACGGCGCATGACCTTTGGCTCACGAGAGGTTTAGAGAATAAGCTTACGATATTTTTTTCTAATATTTTATAACGTTATTAATAACGTTATGGAATAACGTTATTACATTTTTCTAATATTGGGGTGTTTTATATGACTATGGTAACACTGGCTAATGCACTACATACATAAAAAACCGGCTTCACTTTTTGGTTCGGCAGACTCCGTCTTTACTTTTTATTTGGTCTGAGGATGTAAATAAATATGCTAACATCAATAAGTATGAACTAAAGACTTATTAAAATCGTCATTTAAACTTAAATCACAATATTTTTACTAATTGACTTCCGAATACTAGTTTTCAATTAATCGTAAGTATCTTTCGAATGTCAAATTTAAAGGTATTGATTGTTATGGAAATATAAAATTTAACGGGTTAAATGGCTTAATTAGAAAAAGAAGGTTTCCGTACCTTCGTATCCCGACATTTCGACCAGGTTACACCGGTCGTGGTCACAGGGCGACTCATAAAAAAAATAAAGAAGGTGCGAAAACCTATACATAGGTACCTATTATGCAACGCAAGTCTAAAAGTGTATTGTGATAGAAGTTAATGTAAGACAATTAAGACGCTGTATTTAACAAACTGCAAGACAAGTTATCCCCCGTGGTGATGGCTCGGTTCCTGTGAGCTCCCAGGTTATATCCCCGAGTCCATGATTAAGAACTAAATAAGTGCGAGTAGGACTTGCACAAGAAAAATTCCGTACTTATAGTACGAGAATTCATTACGTAGAGCAAACAACTCCGAAACAATAGCGTTGCATTTTTTAATATTTGTCGTGACGAAAATAAAAGAACTGGCTGACTGACGAACTAACGGACAGACAGGGTAGGTTTAGCCTCGGGCACAGATTACCTAATCGTCCTCGAGTCTCATAATTTGTGGTACCGTAGTTGATTTTGATTTCAATAAAACACGCGTGCTTTTTTAATTATACCTATGGCTACTTGTTTAGATCTAAGTAACATCATAATATTTTGTAAGATTGACTAATATTTCGGACAGTACAATGGTAGGTACATAAGTATTTTTATTTAAGGTGTCTTGGTTCAATACGTCAGTTTGACAATGAACTGTGTAAAATGCGTAAATGCTCATAGTATTGCTTTAACGAACCACAGATGTTTTCATAGTTTACCTTACTTAAGTAGAGTAGACACTTGCTTAATACATAAATATAGTAGTGTGAATTAAAGTAAAGATTATAAATTGATATTTATATTTTTTAAGTTAGGTTATAAAAACAGTTTTGTCGTTTGTAACTTTGTTCATAACTTGTACCACCTATAAATAAAATTTATTGTATTTAAACTATAGAAAAAAACTAATGAACTGTGTTATACATATGTAAAAAAATGTAGTAATAAATTTAACTTTCCTCGGTAAAATACAGACATGTAAGTATATAATTCCTAATAGAGTGGTATCAACAAATCATTATTGCCTGTTTATGTTTAAGCTACATTTTGAATTTCAAAACTGCAAATGTAAGGATTTGTTTGCATTAATAAACAGGATGATATATCCAGTTTGACGTACACAAAGTGGATATTAGTGCCGGCAGTAAATCAAAACAAACACGGCCGGGCAGCGCGGTCTCGCCGCACGACCCGCGATTCACGACCAAATGCGATCGATAAAAACAATGAAAATAGACGCGCCACCATGCAAACACCGCGATTACACCTTCTAATCAAACACTCACCTTGTTACCTGTGAATCTGACGACTCATAAAATAAAAACAGCCTAATAAATTCAGCTGGAACGATCGAAATGTGTGCAATAACCTTTCCAAGACGATTCCAATAAGAAACCAACGAGATTGTCTGGGGTTACATGTATTGAAATACGTGATAGGGCTGTTTCATAGCTTACCAAATGCAGGACGGTGTTTACCACTTCCCTGTTGGTCACCTGTCCGACTTCAATCAATCCGATAAGAACTGCAAATTTCAGGCTATCGTTCGTCGTCATCCTCACCACCTCCTCAGGTCTCTTGATGTCACTAAACGGCGGTGATTTTAAGTCCGCCATGGTTCGTTTTGTCACAATTCACTAACACACAATTTTTTTAACCACACGCGAGACAATAATTCAAGAAAACATTATTTTCCCAGCTCACATGATAACGCACCGAAGTCGCATTCTGCCATTTTGGAATAGATCGATGTTGCCATTCTAAAATTAATTTAGCATTACCCATATCAGGGAAATATTAATTTAGGTGATTTTCGACAATTAAAATCTTATTCTAGCCTTGTAAAATATTTTAACTAAATACTATAGCAAAAATAGATAAATTAGCTGAATTTTTACGAAAAAAATAATTACTAGGAGTTTCCAAACTAGGTATTCTTGTCTATAGGGACTCAATCATTAATACATATTTCATGCAGTAACAGACTTAATGAACAAATACCATTCTATAAATTTTCATTACAATGATTAACTCAATAACAAAGGCAAAATTATTTTCACCGGGGAATATCCAATTATAAAACTTTGGTATTATCCTTGAGTTTTTGAAGTTATACTTCTTTAGGCGCGTTATGAAAAAATTATGAGAGTGAAATTTTAAGATGCGCGCGCATCACTGTAACACAAAATTTTAACAGCATGAAGTTGGTCGCTTTAGCGACCAACTTCATGCGTTACTTTTGTGTTTAGCGCACATTAAGAAAATCTACCAACAAAATAGAAATAGAATCTCTATTTAGTGGGTGCTAACGACTGCATTGTGAAGGCCTATCAAAAGTATTTATTAATCTGGAACAACGGAACCAAAGCGCGATTCAGGAGACTACAGCGCCATCTCTTGACCATTGGTGTAGTAAAACCAAAAACCACATCTTTATTTTTTGTAATAAAGTAACAGATAAAGGTATTCATATTTATAATATTTATCCACATGTTTCTAGTTTGTATATTCCGAATACGTGTTTGAGTTTCATACAAGTGCAAATCACATATGTTCTAATAAATTATATTCAGTAGCGATTTTAATTGAATATTTTGATTATTTATTTATTTTTTCAAATTAAAACTGAACTTTATTGACTGTGTCCTTTTCCAGACTTTTTATTAATTTATTGTAATTAATTATTTGCATGCAATTAAAAACTAATTTTAAACGATGCCAAAGAAGGATAACTTCTCACGCGCCTACATAAGTACACGCACCCATTTTTTTTTATTATGAGACTTGAATGTAATCATTAAAATTTAATGTAACGAGTAGTGACTCAAATAACTCATCAGACGCCATCATTATCTATATAAAGATGAAAAATTTATCTGTTTTGCCTTGATCACCCTCATAATGTTTTTAAGCTGCTAATAATATGAAGACGATTCCTACGGGGGAAAAATAGAATAAAATAAAAATAAAACTCGATTCTATTTTCTTTTCTTTCTGGTGATGATCAATTTAATATCCTCCTGTATTGTAGCCCTGATCTGCGTAAGAATTACATGGAATCAATTTACACGTAAGAGACATGAGTACCGCTAAAGGTATACGGCATTTGAACACACTATAAAAAATAAGTTAACTATGGCACTACAATAATAGTTTAGTTTCATTATAGCTTATCGACAGGAGCAACTCTTTCACACTTTTTTAGCGATGATTGAATGACAACATTTGAGGAGCGTCTGTTCAAAGGGGACTATTTCTTTATTTACTGACTTATAGTTTTTTTTCGTGAATTCTACTGGCATTCTAAAATCCTATCACAGCTTGTACTAAGTTTAGTCTTGATCGCAATTGAATATTTACCCTTCAAATTTGAACTTAAATTCGCGGTTCTATTCAAATGGTGCTTTTTTAGCTCATTGATAAATTTTTGTTCGACACATAAAATTTTTAACCTTCAATTAAAAAAAACTTCAAAAAGTTTATTTGTTGATGCTATTTATTATCATTCCTGGTCAAAAGATGCTATTTTCCGAATATCCGACCAAAAAGTGCTATTTCCATTATTAATTACTTAATTTTGTGCTTTTTAATAATAACAATAATAAATAAATTCACCCTAAAAATAAGTGGCCTCCTCATGAATTACCTGAATAAAAAAAATATACTTCACATACTTACATCATCAAATCTGCATACGTTTTTTTAATTTTATCAACATTTACTTAGCATGGAAATAGCCTCTTTCGAACAGATGCTCTTCATTTGCTACTAAACATAAAACTAAATTTAACATCAGTCTTTTCATTCTGCATGGAGAATAAGAAAGATACACCATTTTTCAAATTTAAGTCTAGATTTAGAGAATCATGCCAAAATCGACAGCACTGTATCTTTTAACAATTAATGTAATTTAGGACGATGGAACTTGAGTTTTATTTCGTTTCTGAATAAGTTTTTGAAAGTCCGCAGAATTTGTGGTTATTTTATGCGTTGCAAGGATCATTTTAATATAAATGGTCTGGAAATACGTAGTAGGTAATAATAATCATTGTCAGACCCGTTTTTCCCAGTCGGCACTTTGGGCTCGCAGATCAAATACAAAGTCCCTAGTTCCTGTTAAATCACCAAACGGAAGTCATAGGAGCCTCATTATCCTAATATGCCAAGGTCCTCCAATAGGTCAAAGACGGCACTGATGACTGATCATTGTATTTGTCACAACCTGGGTGGGTAGCTAGACAGGCAGTTGGGTGGGTAGCTATGTGGGCGATGGATGGTTGTGGACTTGGCTTAACTTTTTGAACCTTGGGAGATATTTGGTAAAATATTGTTATGGCAATGCTAGTTATTGTTTAACGTTTTAATAAGCGTAGTTTTGGTGTAGATAAAATTTCACTTGCTAATTTAATAAATAGATTTTTATGAATTTCTTCGGATATATAATTTAATTTATTAATATGAAGAAATTAATAAAAATCTATTAAATAATTTCCGGTGTAATGGTGAATACAAAAAAAAATTTCGACGATAGACTGCAAAAAAACGAAACCGTTGCAATTAATAACGCATTCAGTGACAAATAGTAGTAAAATTAATAAAGAAGTGGTAAAATTAAAATACACTTGGTAACCCAGCCTACAGCTTCAAGTCAGTTCTACCAACATTGTAAATTTTGAGATACAGTCAATACATTTATTTTTTAAAACATAAAAAGCTTATTCATTAAGATGTAAATATAAATCCAAAGTGAATTTATAAGATCTGTAATTGAATAAGATTTTCTTATTTATTACTATTTATTGCTCAGAAGATTCTGAGTTGATAGTAATATGGTGGCTGTGTTGTCTACTTTTATATGAGGGGATTGGCAGTACTTGCACCTGAAGCTCGTCATAGTTGATGAGCAATAGCAATCCAAAACCGAAAATAACAACTTCATTCCAATCAGTCAGTCAAAAACCGATCATGGCGGCGATTAACGTTGAGCTTCCGAAAGTGAGTTATAAATAATTTTAAAACCGTTTTGTTTTGATTCCATTTACGTAGTTTCAGTGAAGAATATATAATCTACAGTGATAGTTCGAGAAACTCAATTTACATGTATTAATTCCTTTGAGAATTAATCTGAGGGCGTTGCACCCATTGCTTCACAATTACAATAATTTGTCTTGAGAAAGTACACAGTTTTGTTTAGTCCGTATTACTAATGAAGAAAGATCTTTAAATTCTTGTAATCGTCAGTCAACAAAAGAATGATAACAATAAACAAATTGTGTCCAGTGACTGTCATTCTTACTTATTGTGTACTCAAAGGCTTTCGTCTATTTTGTGTTTTATCTAAACAAATAGTTGTTTTGGTGTTTAATTTTAGATGGAACCGTCTTTGCGTACTCTAAAACTGTCAGGGCATGTCGGCTTCGACAGCCTTCCCGATCAGTTGGTGAACAAAAGTGTGCAGAATGGATTTGTTTTCAACATTCTGTGCATTGGTGAGTACTCGGTGAATCATTAGTGTGTAATGTAATACTATACCACCTCTGGTAATATCTATCCTATCCCACGTACAGCAGTTGCTTATCTATGCTGGCTGTTTAATGTTGTAACACTACTGTTCCACAAAAACAATGTGGGTTTTTACTAATTATTACTTATCTACATACCTGTATGAGTATGTAATTTAGGGTCAAGGATTGAAAGTTTTCATGTTTTTTTGTATTAAGTATTAAAGTCAGTACCACTTTCTTTCTTTCTTGGTATACTGATCAATTGATGGGAGCTAACAGTTCCTTTTTTATGGAGGCATAAAGAGACTTAATAAAATATATCTAAAAATATGTGTATTTATATACAGATTCTCTTGTAATATAACTTAGTTTGTACTTTTTTATACTTTTAGGTGAGACGGGTTTGGGTAAATCCACCCTGATGGACTCTTTGTTCAACACAAATTTTGAATCAATCCCGAGCCCACACAACTTGCCTACTGTGAAGCTAAAGGCTCATACTTATGAGTTGCAGGAGAGTAATGTCAGATTGAAGGTAAAGTATCACTTGTTTGTGTACATAATATAAGGGTAATAATCTATAATCTGGGGTTTTAAAACTTCAATTGAACTAAATTTAGTTTAAGGAAATTGTTCAAACATTAACAGAATTGTTTGATGTAGTGAAATAAAATCTTACGCACCACAGCTGGGAAATTAATTAACAATTCAACTTACATATAACTTTACTAGTTAACACAATTTTGGTGTTTGTTTTATCCTTATATTTACTTACAACAAGCCTTAGATAATATTGCTTAAAATGTTTAGGGCAACTGACAATTTTTAGTTGATTATTGTTTCATGTATTCCCAGAATTGGGGTTCCTTCATTTAATGCTATTGAGTAAACTTTATTCTATCAAGATAGAACAACTAGATACTTATGAGTAGATATCATAATTGGTTATGATTTCTCTATTGCTGGCACTTTACATGGTTGGTCATATTTGCCTAGCTAAATTTGACAACAGCCTCCTTTTCATTCCCTACTAAAGAGCATAAAAGGATAATCCTGCTGTTATTTTTTTATTAGTCAAATACAAATATCATGTGAAGCATTAGCATAAGAATTGCTACATTAAACCCTAGCTTACCATCTGCGATACTGTGGGCTATGGTGATCAAGTCAACAAGGAGGATAGTTTCAAAGCTGTAGTGGACTACATCGATGCACAGTTTGAGGCTTATCTCCAGGAAGAGCTCAAGATCAAGCGGTCTCTGCCCACATACCATGACAGCAGGCTGCATGTCTGCTTGTACTTCATATGCCCCACAGGTAAATTTACCAATAATTATTTTTACTATGTGGTGGACCAACATTCTTGGGAAGGTCGTGGGAAGCCAATGGATGTGACTGGCCCACGATCAATCGGTGTGATGATCCTTGGGGGAGGCCTATGCTCAGCAGTGGGAGTCGTACTTCCGATATGATGATTATGGTCATTTTAACTGTTTGAATGCTATCATAATAAAACAAAAAGAAGTTTCCAATGCTATCATAATAAAATAAAGTGAAGTTTTCAAGTATTGATAAACATGAAAGATTTGCTTTTAAATTAATGTGCTGGTCCATTTTGATTTGTTGTTGCATTTAAATGTTTATTTGTTTTGAATCTTCAATGAGTAATTAGTAAACAAAAACTCAATTGAATCAGTTTCTCAAAGCCAAATGTAATGAATATTTAATTTAATTTATGTTAACTAAATTGTGAAGAAGGATTCATGTTACATTTATTTATGGCCACCTGCCTTATGTGTCTGTCCTTCTGTAGCAATTATGCCAATTGACTTTGACACATAAATACCTTGTATACCAGGCCAGAAGATAAAACGTGTGTATAGATAAATACTGTGTAACTCAGATAATGCATGTTTGAATGGCTGTATTTGGTAATAATTGGATAATGACAAAAATGTGTTGATAACACTACTGTGTACATTGTTATCACTTTAAAAGTTGACGACCTATTGCTGGACTATTGAACTCGAGTTCATAGCGGATTTTCTGCTTAAAATAGAACGCCTTGCAAAAGATTGCAGTGAATGAACACTACGTTTCGTTACGGGAGTCCTGGTTCTGTTTACGGGGTAGGGGGTAGGGTCAAACAAAGCGCAAGTGTCTATATCCATACATCGCTTATCGACCAAAAGGCGAGCCATTTATGCCTAAATATCATCTAGGAAACACCTTATTTAATGTATTAGAAGAAGGTATCTTAACTTAGTCTAACATTGAACAAGTCGTACCTGTATGAAAGATAAGTCTGGTCCTTTATGTCATTTAGTCAGTCTGTCATTTAGCTGTATGTAATACAATCCGGCATATCGCCGATCCAGCCAGGTGGAACGAAACACTACGTTACGTTTCTCCTGGCCGCATACGACATAATTTATACCTATATCCTAGTGATGATCAATCTCTCGTAACTAGTCATCAGATGACTTAAACTTTTACCCCCTTTAACTAAATTAATAAACAAAGAATACTTGGATTAGTTACTTCATGTTTTCTGTCGGTTCATTGAATGACAAATTATTATTAATAAAGAGGTTGTAGGATACGAGTCGCAAAGTTTAATAAATTTCATACTCATACAATTTCACTTCCCCATGAACTCAGTGATCGCCAAATTAGTTGATACTTTGTATCGTTGTATGTGGTGCGGTAGGTATTATTACTTGTCCTTGACATAATGTAAGGCGCGTATGTATGCAGGGCGCGCGCTCGGCATACTTACTCGTCCTCGAATTTTACTAACACGCTTCCCCGGAGGATCGTTTAACGGTATGCCATAGGCCGTGCCGATAGTACTGTATTACTTACATCCTTGCCCTTTCATATGATCATAATTTATAAAAAAAAGTAACTGTGTCGAGTGGTTTGCTTGTTTTGTTTTCATTTTGTCGCAATCTGTGTAAAACTTTAAATTGTCTCGAGTCTAGATGTTTATACTAAGTTCTGCGTGAGTTGTATCCGAATTCTCCATATGACACGTCACGACTCCCGAGTCAGACATATACTCAAAATTAAGAGTAATGTTGACTAATTCATTTATTATATTTTTTAAGTACTCGCAAGCACATCAGTTTATTTAAAACAATAACATTAAGCATCTCTTTCGATTTTTAACCAAATGATAAAGACAAAACTAATAAAACGTAATCATGTTCCCAACCTAATATGAAAAGATGAAATGTAATACAATGAATGGCAATGTGGCAGTGAGTCATCGTAATTATAAATGTAGTAGCTCAGCCTTTCCATCACAACCATGTCTGAGAACATAATTTATTATATCAACTATCTCAGTTTCAAATCTTTTTGTTTTACAGATTTTTTATTTGTAAAGTAGTATACATACCTAATGTTATTATTTATCATTGGTATATAATAAAGCGTATGTGGTAAACTTTGTAATCATAATCATTATCATTTATTTCTTAATAAATTACACTTCAGTGTATTGAGAACGTTATAAAGTACTAGCGCCCCCCGCGACTTCGTCCGCGTTAATTTTAGTTTTTGATAATCCCCCAGGAACCTAACACTTTTCCGGGACAAAAAGTATCCTATGTCTCATTGCAGGTCATATATTATATGCGTACCAATTTTCATCCTAATTCAGTAGCTTTGCGTGATTGAATAAACATACAAACTTAATTAATATATTAAGGATTAACGTGTTATCCAGCCGGTTATGGGAGGAGTTACATTGTCTTAATGTTCCGGAGACGGTGTTTAATGAAATGACTCGAACAAGTTGGTTGAGCTGAGACTGATTTATTGATTTCTATTGTTTGCCAACCCACATTATGAGATATGAGTAAAAAGTGACAAGACAACCTTCGTTTATGCAATTTAATTTGACTACCACCTTGGCTTGGACGCCGGGTTTCAAGGTGCCGCCTACTCAGATGTCCCGGGTTCAAATCCTGGTACGGTAAATGATAGAATGATGAATAAGAGCATTTGTCATGGATATTTAGAGATACTTCTATTCTGTATAAATATACTTATATGTATCAGTATATGTACTCTATCCATTACCCTATTATCTCATAACACAAGCCCTACAGTGCTTACTTTGGAACTAGGTTAATTGGTGTTAGTGTTGGAAATATTTATTGTTTATTTTGCTGTAGTTTTCTGTAAGGCGGAGATACTTTATTAGAAGGGCTAACTGAGTATCCTTGATAATTTGCAGGCCACGGGCTGAAGTCGATCGACCTCGTGTGCATGAAGAAGCTGGACACCAAGGTCAACATCATACCCATCATCGCCAAAGCAGACACCATCTCCAAGACTGAGCTGCAGAAGTTCAAGGTACAGGACTGCTACTTCTTTCTTTTTTTACTAGAGATGGTATTTATTAGTGTTTATTTTTCACGCATAGGACAGAAAACTATTGTTAACTTAATCTCTGATTTGAAAGCGCTGACTTTTGTCTTCTTCTTAGCCATTCAAAGTGACGGCATCGTATTTGGGCCGGGTTTAACTTAAGAGCAAGTGCGCATTGAGCCACTAAACGCGACCACTAGTGACTCAGTAAAGCCACTAGACACAGCCAATCAAATCGAGAGAAATCGAGTGGCCACCATTAAGCTTCTAGTAGCGGCCGCTCGATTTCTCACGATTCAACTGCGTCTAGTGGCTTGATTGAGCTACTAGCATTGTGCTTAAAAAATAATTCAAAAATATACATCTAATCTGTAGTACATTTTTTCCTCTAGTGCTTGACAAAAAACTTGTTTAATTGTACAGAAATATGATTTTTATATCAAATATACTGATTGCATAGCAAATATACCGATTGCACAGAATATTAACCAGGGCTTCAATGCACAATACTCACACTCATTACAAAACAACTATTTTTGCAACAGGTTTTCCATTAAGCATTTCAAAACTTGCTCAACATTGGGAATCGGACAAAAAAGGAAGTGTGAACGTCCCGCTAGAGCAATGTTGCTCCCTGCTTTAATTACCGAAACATAGACGTTATTTTTTGTTTCAGATGTCATAGTTGATTGTTGTGTCGTCTTAAATAAATAATTATTAATTTTTTGTTATTACTAGATATGCATTGTTAAAAATGCTTTAGTTTTAAATAAATAGTTAACTTAAATTGTTACTCATATAACAATATTTTGAGGCAACTATTTTGCTGTGCAATACGTATTTTTACTTAGGGGAATGCTTATTGGGAATTATTTTTTTTATACAAAACGTAAATTTTTTGATTTGCAGTCAAATAATAGCCTTTTATTATTATTATTATTTGTTAATTGTTTCCAGTCGAAGATAATGCAGGAGCTGCAGAGCAACGGCGTGGAGATCTACCAGTTCCCGGTGGATGACGAGTCGGTGTCGGAGGTGAACGGGTCGATGAACTCGCACATCCCCTTCGCGGTGGTGGGCAGCACCGACTTCGCCAAGATCGGCAACAAGACCGTGCGCGCGAGGCAGTATCCATGGGGCACCGTGCAAGGTATCATATCTTTCATCATCATCAGCCTATCAATGTGTCCACTGCTGGGGCACAAGCCTGAACCTATGATAGATGGATGGATTCGGGAGTGCGGGCCATGACTCATCACGCGCGCCCAGTATAAGTACTTTTTTTGTTATAATAAAAGCGGGTTTCATTTTGACAGCAAGAGAAATAAAAATTAAGAAGGTGTACAATGGTGTATTTTTGTTATCTTTAAACATTTTTTTGATGGGTGACATTTTTTCCTTCGCTTTCAATTCTTCAATGCAATTTGTGGGTGCAGTTTACGTGAAGTGGGACGGAAATGTGTAACAGGAAGTTTGGGAAGCACGCATAATTTTTTTTTCGAGCTCTTCGAGCTCTTCCTGGATATTATCTTTAATAATGTGTATATATACCGTGAAAGATATTTACCTTAATAATATGTAATATAAAATGTTTATTAAAGGGATTTAATAATATTTCATTGTTTGATAGTTTGACTTTGATTTGTTTTGAAAATTTATGATTGTAAGTTAAACTAAAATTAAAACTTTTTTTTATACAAGCTTTTTTTAACAGACAGTAATAAGAATTGAAATGTTAAAAATAATTTTATTCTGATAAGAAATGTACCATTTTATAAGTATATTAAGTTTTTGCTTTTAATAACAGCGTGTTTCATTTTGACAGCATGACAGAGAAATAAATATCATCAGATATATATTTTTTTTCTTTTTATTGCTTGCTAAAGAACAATGTTTTCCTATATCTTAAAAAAATATAGGCAACTGAATTGCGATTCGATTTATTTAAATAAATAGTTGATAAAACATACATTTCTTCTGATTAGTGAACAGATCGGTAAAGGACGACCTCCCCTCGGATCTTGTACTACAAGTTCTAAAATGATTAAATCTTTTTATCATCAACTCATCTAAATATAAATCTAAAATCAATTCTTTTGTTGTCATCTAGTGGAGAACGAGTCCCACTGCGATTTCGTGAAACTCCGCGAGATGTTGATCCGCACCAACATGGAAGACATGAGGGAAAAGACACACGCCCGACACTACGAACTATATCGGAGACGAAGACTTGCTCAGATGGGCTTCACCGATGTAGACGCGGATAATAAGCCGGTGAGAAATTACCACTATCAACAGCCTGTTAATGTCCCCATTGCGGGGGCACAGGCTAGTGTTGCCAGGTCCGATTTGTTTTAAATCGGTACATGAGGTCAAAACAATCAGGTTTAGTAAACAAAAAATAAGGGGATTACTCTATATTATTTTGTTTTTTTTTTGCCACCTTCAATGGCCACCTTGGAACGTATCCCCCCAATAATCCCATATTATTGCAACTCCATATTGCAGATTTCTGTATTCGCGGCATATTTCTGGAGTGCATACCTCGCAAATAAGGAGCTTTTTACTGTAATACTTATTATTAAAGTACTAAGAGCACACAGATCCTTAGTTTTAAAACCTCAGACCAAATAAAAAGTAAAGACGGAGTCTGCCGAACCAAAAAGTGAAGCCGGTTTTTTATGTATGTAGTGCATTAGCCAGTGTTACCATAGTCATATAAAACACCCCAATATTAGAAAAATGTAATAACGTTATTCCATAACGTTATTAATAACGTTATAAAATATTAGAAAAAATATCGTAAGCTTATTCTCTAAACCTCTCGTGAGCCAAAGGTCATACGCCGTTCTCACCTACAAGTGCCGGACTTCTTTATGGACCGCCCGCCCGTGGGTGGGAACGATTGCATTGTTCTGCCGATTTCTCTGTTATTTTGTAAAAATACCCTTCACAAACGTATATTTGGATTCTCCATAAAATTTTCAATAAAACAGTGTGTACACAATGCATCATGTCTATAATTTATTTTAATTACATTATGGTAAACTCAGGAAAGATAAAAAAAGTCGTTTAAATAGGTAAAATGAGGTATATTTTCAAAATTTGTAAATTAATAATCCAGGTTTTTGTACATATAGAATGTACTATATATAAATGAATGTATATAATAACTTACCAAATACAATTATAAAATATAACACGCAACAGAAAAAAAAGGGTCGTGTTTCAAGTGTTGATAAAAACAAATGCGAGATCCAAGTGCCTTGATTTGTGTGTTGACGTTTAATTATGTTGGATTGTTTATTTTACTTTAGTTACAAGTCTCGGATGGAATAGGTTTGTTCATTTTATAGTTTCAAGCACTCGCAACAAGGTACTTGAAATCGCTACCAAATCAGTCATCTCAACTTTATGTCGATAAAACGAAAAGCATATACAAATGTTGATAAACAGTTTCTTTTATTAAAATGTACATGAAATTTTCTATAGAATACACAAAATATAATCACTAGTTCCTATACAAGAACATAATAAAATAAATCCACAAACATCGCGAATTTTGGGTCAAAAAGGCCATTAAAAAGTAGATGCATCTTAAAACGGTGTGCACATTAGATGAGGCATTTTTCTAGTGTGCACAGTTGCGGTCAAGGTTGAGTTTAAAATTAGCTAAGTACCAAATTAACATTATTTTTACTATTGTACTAATACTTTTAATGAACAATGATACTTAATTCAAGTAAGTTCACTTTAATTTAGTAGCATAATACGGCAAAATGGGGAAACTGAATCAAGTAGTTCTACCACAACATGATAGATGGTGGGACTTGTACTAACAATAAGCAGTTAGCAAATAAATTATTGGAATCTTTAAAATATAAATTAATCTAAGTAACCATAATAATAGTAAAAAAAATACCTTTGGATATGCATTTTGTTTTACACGACGTAACCCTTTTGTTGTGTAGTACAAATCGTCGCTCTAAAAATGAGTCGAACAAACCACGCTGCGGGAAGCTGGTGCCACAATGGTTCATTTCTACTCTTACGAATGACTGCAATCCGCTTCTCTTTTAGATCTTGATCTCGATTAGGAAATCTTAAAAAAAACGTATAATATATAATATGTATTACATCCCAAAAAATTTATACGAATACATAAAGAAAAAAGATGTTTCGTGTAATTGTTTATCCATGCATTACAATATTCGAATAATATAAAAGTATGCCACACAATGTATTTAATAAAATAACGTTACGTTATATTTCACGCTACCCAACAAAAGGGTAAAACTGTAACGAATAATCATGGCAACATTTCGTTCAGGTTTTGTTTATAAAGCGACAACCTCAAATTTGATTTTGATTAATTGAAAATAGCAGTTTATAACTTTACTTACGTATGAAATGTGATTCCATCCTGTTTTTTATTCTTGGAAGATTGGTTTTTACACGTTTTCACTACACAATTCGGCATTTTCTCTAATAAATATTGTTATTTATTATTACGTCACACTCCGCGCGTCGGGATAGCTCGACTGAGAATCCAAGGCGTAGTTTCGTTGCATGTGTGTGCGTGTAACTGTGTATGTACACGGCGAGGCGTAGTTTTATCGGCTTCACTTTTTGGTTCGGCAGACTCTGTCTATACTTTTTATTTGGTCTGAGTTTAAAACATCATGTGCCTGTTACTTGTTAAACCATAATTGTAAAAAATGTGGGAATAATAAATTATTATATTATATTATATTGTATTATAAAGAAAATTTTTTTGTTTGTTTTGTCACAGGTGTCGTTCCAGCAGACCTTTGAGCAGAAGCGAGCGGCGCACCTCGCCGAGCTGCAGCAGAAGGATGACGAGATGCGACAGATGTTTGTGCAGAGAGTTAAAGAAAAGGAGGCAGAACTTAAGGACGCGGAGAAAGAGGTAATTCTATTCAATTAATACTATCGGTCGACCGTGACTTCTTCCGCCTACACTTTGTACGCCTGTTTTAAGGTGTCGACTACTCGAGAGGTTCTAATACCGGTATGGGCAGATGTTCGTGTGATGATACGAGCATGTGTACTCCAGTTTTGGTTGTTTAATATGACGTATTTCTATATAAGTATACTTATATACTTATTACTATATGTATCAGTATTATGTATTCTATCCGTTACCCTAGTATCCCATAACACAAGCCTACAGTGCTTACTTTGGGGCTAGGCTAATTGGTGTGAGTGTTGGAAATATTTATTTATTTTATTATTTTAATTAATTGGTAGGGGGTTCGTGGCTACGCGTGGAAAAATTGGTTTCCCATAAAAACTTCCACCTCGGACTTCACCCCCTTTCAGGGTGATTTCTGGGATAAAAACTATCCTTTACAAAAAATATATATCTATATTTATTTCGGACAACAGCTGCCCATATCACCCATTAAAAACCAAACAATAAAGAATCAATTAAAATGTAATTAAGTTACAAATAATAATCATCAATAAATAATAAACAATTATAACATGTCAATATTTTCTCAATAAATATTACATGTCAATATTTACTGTTAGTCAGTACATGAACCACGCAACAATGACGCATGGAATGACAGGCTATTCTGTTTGCAAACAAGCTTAGTGATAGCTCCCGTATGATAGTGAAAAAACAGTCCACCTGTGCATCAGCAGATATGTGCCTAGCCTATGTCCTTTCCCTCGACTCAAACTATTTCTATACTAAAAAACCCCAAACACGAACAACTAGCGACAAATATATAGTATTCGTATCGCCATGGCAAACTTTCTATGGCAAAAGCCAGTTTGTACATACGCGAATACGGATCAGTCTAATGGAAGCCATGCACATTAGGTTTTGCATGATGGTTTTAGCCGTACATGCATAACCGACAGCGTGTATGTGATAAAACTACAGTTATCGGTGCATGTACATGCAACCGAACAAATATCAAAATTGATATTTTATGCCGCTCGGTTATGTTGCGCGCGAGCATAACCGAGCGTGTGTGGCGTCCGGCGAGCTTGCCTGTCACAGTTCTCAATTTTTCATTGTTGCGACGGCGGAAGGTCCCAAGCGCAATGCCACATTAGAAGAATTCTTAGAAATTTACAAGTCGGAACCTTGTCTTTGGCGCGTAAAGTGCAAAGAATATCACGACATAGACCAACGATAGGCAGCATATCAGAGATTGATAACTAAGCTCAAGGAATCAGAGCCCACTGCTACAAAAGAAGATGTGATGTAAAAAAAACCGTTCATAGTACTTAATAGGCGTCCTACACATATCGTCACGTAGCTCATAGACCAGGGTCGATAATTTTTGAGACCAAAAAAAATTATAGTAGGATGAAACCCATTAGAAAAGGTAGAGAATATAACAAAAATGAAAGGAAAAATAAATTACGGGCGATCTGAGGTCGGGAAGGGGGAGGGGGTGAGTTTTTAAGGGTAAAAAATGGTTAATCTCGATTTCCGGTAAAACTGCAAGTCCTATGAAAAAAAGTTAAATGGCAAAGTTGTAGGTAATAAAAAGATCTACAACTTTTGTTTCTTTTTTATTTTTAATGTTTAGGGACTTTTGGACCTAAATGTCCATACCAGCCATATCGTAACCTGACCATACAATTTTCTTAAAATTATAACTTAACTATTACATAAAATTTTTGCTGCCACATTGCAAAGCACACCAGCCTCCTCCGATAGGGTTAGCTAGGATGCCCTGCAATATGCCAGTTTCAAACTTATTAATTTTAAGGATGGAGAATGCATGTCTCCTTTCCGCTTCATTCTTGGCGCATTCCATTAAAATGTGTTGCACATCCTCCACTTTCTCACATATTTCACAATTAGGGGAATTGATTTTTTTTAAAAGAAACAAGAATTTATTTAATGGAATATGTCCAGAACGAAGTCGGTGCATAATCATAATATATATATGTACGACCTATATTACCATTGTTGAACCAAGATTTTGAGGAGGTTCACTTGCTATGGTCTTGTACCAAATGCCTTTCATTTTAGACCTTTCATTAAAATATTCTGCCCATAACCTATAGCAAATGACCCTAAACTTACCCTTAAAAACTCACCCCCTCCCCATTCCCGACCTCAGATCGCCCGTAATTTATTTTTCCTTTCATTTTTGTTATATTCTCTACCTTTTCTAATGGGTTTCATCCACTTTGGCATTTAACTTTTTTTCATAGGACTTGCAGTTTTACCGGAAATCGAAATTAACCATTTTTTACCCTTAAAAACTCACCCCCTCCCCCTTCCCGACCTCACATCGCCCGTAATTTAATTTTCCTTTCAATTTTGTTATATTCTCTACCTTTTCTAATGGGTTTCATCATACTATATATTTTTTTTCACTTTTCACCACTTTTAAAATTATCGACCCTGGTCTATGAACTGAGAGTAATGGCAAAACTTTGCATGCAAACCCTAACGTGTATGTGCAATATGGAACTCGGTTATGCATGTCGGTTATACTTGCATGGCTAAAACCATCATGCAAAACCTAATGTGCCATAAAAGTTCGAACATGGGTTACTGCAGCTTAAGTGTGAAGAGGTAACAGACAGATGGACACATTCTCACATTTACAATATTAGTAGGGTTTGATTTAATAATAATAATTCATTTATTTCAACCATAAAGATCATAGCATGCCAATGACAAAATAATAATAAATAGTAATAATTATGAGGATGAAATAAAAACAAATTAAATTACATCTCCACGTACAATTACATTTAAAACAAAAATTCAATTCAATTCAAGCTTTGTAACTGACACTCCTATCGATTGTAAAATCCTATACAATTTATTAATAACCAATTTCCCCCCACCCCCTTTACCGCCTTAAAGGATGATTTATAGGGATAAAAACTATCCCATGTCCATCCCAGGACATGGGATGGTTTTTATCCCTATAAATCATCGATTTTATTTAAATCAGTTCAGTTTAAGCGTGAAGAAGATATTAGTATGGATTTCACAATTAAAACATCATTCAACCACATTGTTTTCTCTGAAAAACCTATTAAATTTCCCAAATTTCAGTTGCACGCGAAATTCGACCGTCTGAAGAAAGATCACACGGAAGAGAAGAAACGCCTCGAGGAACTTCGCAAGAAGATCGAAGACGACTCCATCGAGTTCAACCGCCGCAAGCAGGCCGCTGCACAGCATCATCACACCTTAACACTCGGCAAATCCAAGAAGAAGTAAACTAAAATACTGATAGCCAACTTTTTTCACCTTTGTCGATCAGATAGATTATCAAAAATTAATGAGAATCAGTTTTTTTCATTGCCAACGTATCTATTGTCCTAATAAAAACATTAAGACGTCACTTCTTGCTACAATTTTTACTTAGTAGCGACATCACGAGCTCCCGTTTCTAAATTTTGGCGCGCTTTATCTTTGAATTAATTTATTTGAGCACATGATTTTTTTGATAATTTTCTCACTGAAAAAATAGATTTTCGTTTATTTTCCTCATCTCTAATACTGGTCTAGTTCTATAACCCACACATACCTAGACTTGAATAAACGACGCATGCCCTACAAATTGTATGAATACCGAAGAGAATTTATTATATTTTGAGTATTCACGAAATAAAGTGGTATAAAGCCACGGGCCTTGTCCCTCTAGCATGAGCACCACAATTTACATTATATCACGTTTTTATCAGGTCTAACTGTCAAACTCCATAGTATTTGACAATTGAACGGTATAAAAACGATCTATATATCATATCGCGCTGCTCATGCTAGGGGGGCTGGACTCCCGTTTATACCCGATTCTATCGATTATGGAACGTGTTTTTGCGTTATCTATTTTGATCTATGTCTGTGCCTATAATTCCAGCCTATACTATAGTTCTATTCAAACTTTATTCCGGCCGTGAAGTTAGTAGCGAGCAAAACTACGCGCGAATTTAAGTTCAGTGACAACACGCTATATTTCGTTTACTGCGCCGCGACTTGCGCTAACTTCACAGCCACCATTCAGTTTGAATGGCACTTTATACTCAACCAACTGAGTTCCGATATTATGAATGCGAAAGTGTCTGTCTGTCTATCTGTTACCTTTTTATACTTATACCGCTGAACCGATTTAGATGAAATTGGTAATTGAGATAGCTATAGATTCGGGAAAGGAAATTTCCGGATAGTTTTTATCCTATAATTCACCGTTTAAGCGAGTGAACAAGTATGTGAAACCAATTTTTCCTCGCAATCAAAGTCAAAAGTAAGTTAAATAGGGCATACCCTACACTGTACCAAGATGTAGTGTTGAACTCCTCATTATAAAAACGGTTTACACCGAACCTTGCTGAATATTGTAAGGTTTTTCATCCTTATCCTTCACTAGTGTTGAATAAAATGTAACAGTCGTTTATGTCTACGAAACGTCTGAACACAATCTGTTAAGCATCCTTCTTTATATAACTTTTTTATTTGTCACATGGCTAGAGTATTTTAATGCATTTTTATGTAGGTACTTACCTATCTGCTAGGTATTTAATATTTTTTTCATTTCTCGTCGCAGAGAATTATCATATATGCGATTAAGTATTATTATATTGATCATATTTTGGTTTGTAGTCTAATGAATCTGACTGTATTTCATTCACGACTACGACATTCGCACTACAAATACCTTTCTTATTCCAACGTAATAAGGCATCATCGGTATCAAACTGCCGAATCCATCATTGTACCTTATTTAATTTACTGAAATGACGGGTACATCACTATCATGCCATTTATTCAACTTCTAATTCTATCAAAAATGTGGTCCAGTTCGCCAATTGTAGAATATTGTTTGAATGACATCAATTTACATGTATAAGTTTAATTATCGTGATGATATGCGAGTGATTATATTTATGTAAAGCGTGTACCAAATGTATTGATACGTATTTATAAATCTTATTTTATTGCTAGATCTAAGGGCTTAGTATTTGAGTGTGTTATTTTCAATTAGACTATGAAATTAAATAAAAATGTCCAAATTATCTAAGTTGTGACACACTTAAGCATTAGGTATAATTTTAAGTATATTGGAAAAAAATAAACATAGTTGTGTTTAAATAGTTTATTGTGAACTGATCAAATATCGCTTTTTTAATAAAATTGCCTATAAATAACTAGATATAGTTAAAATATTAAATATAATATAGTATTTGCTATTGTATGCAGGACGGATGAGTTACGTCAGAAGACGTAATTTTACGCTTTATGTTAATCAAATACATAGATTATAATAACCCATCGAGTTATGATTATACATTTACGCTCTCTCTGAGTATTCTTGTTTAATTTGTGTTTATAACTTTCTATTTGCATTTACTCATTCATTCCTAGTTTTGATGTAATTTTATACTTAATTTTCTAATAATGAATACCTGACTAAGGTGTTTAATAAAATCATGAAATCATAAGTGTTGTTTTTATTTGTTATGTCTAGAAAGAATCTTGCAGTATCTAAGTAAAGTTCAGTTTTGAATATTCAAAGTGGCTGACATTTCGGTGAGTCGTCATAAGTACAAAATTAACCACATACCCCTTGTTACCCATGTACTTAGTGTACAGGGGTATGTGGGCAATTTATACCTGCCCAGACCCAGTATCGAAGCTCTTCGAAGCCTCAATAGGTGCGTCCACACAGAGCGAGCAGCCTTGCGAGACATTTGCCGCGAACTGTATGTACCCTTAGCACGAACCATTATCGAATTCGGAGTTTGCGAGTGCGAAATCTCAATGTTAAATTTTGTATGGAAACTTGAACAGCAGCCACAAAGTACGTAACGTGAGCTAAAAATCAGTACACATGGACACATTTCGGAGTCGCAAACTATTTGAATTCGATATTGGTTCGTGCTAAGGGTACTGTTCCCGAACAAGCGCGGCAACCTCGCCTGAGCTGTTATGTTGATAATGACATTGTAGCGCCACACACGTGTTATGGGGGCATGCTCGAGTAAGGCACGAAACAAAATACGTGAGCGTCCGGAGTGCGGCAGACCACGGAGGTGCCGTTGAGCAAAACAAAAAGCCGATACTCGATGGCTCGGTCGCTTGCCTCGGACGAGGTACGTTCACACTATCTAAGCTGCCACGCGAAGTTGCTCGCTCTGTGTGGACGCGACCCATCTCTCTTTAGAAATAATCCATTTTAAATGGTAATTTGCGCCCTTATTGTCCGCAACGCAATGCACATATTCCGTATGAAATAAAAAGAAGACGCGCCCGCATTCGACGGAATTCGCTTTTTGGTTTTTCCTTCAACCTAGTCTCCAATTGAAATCGCAAATAATTTTCACAATTAGGCCCCTAGTACTTTTATGTTATACTAATCGGCATCATTCGTGATCACGAAATTGTGTATTTTCGTGAACATCATCGTCGCTTATTTTACTCGAATACGATTATCGATTTTTAGGTTGCAGCCCCTGGAATCCCCGATGCGATAAGTATAGGTAGCACACGATCCAGAAGGCTACTCAGACGAGAGACACTGTAAGAGGTCTCGGCAGTTCGTAGCAGACGGGCTTGAACATCTTGTTGTAGTACGTGTAGCGGCGCCGGCGCGGCGTCACCGACGCGCGCACGGGCACTTTGATACCGGACAGTGCCGCCGCCGCCTGACTCGCCGCCGCTGCTCGCCGGCACTATGCAATGTCACAAAAAAAACATATAAATCAATGCATCTATACCGTTCAAACTTGTTTTATTTAATGAGTGGTGTGCGTGAAAACCTAAGAAACAAATACAACACTGATTTTATGCTAACACACAGACCCCACTACAGAAAGATGCACTACAGCTTATAAGGGCACCCACTGGGGCCAAAATTATGTAATAAAACGGAGGACGAGTAATTTTGCTATAAGAAAGAAAATACATTTATTTTGACACAAACAACGAGACAGTAGATACAAGATTTTGAGCAACAAAAAAAATACAAGAAAACTTATCGTAAACAATAGAATAACAACACAAAAAAGTAACACACACAATTTTTTATAACTGTCGTTACCACGGTGATTTATTCTGTTGCTATCTCGCGGCTGCGCCAAAACAGGTTGTCAATTTAGCATGTTGTCTTGTCAGGTTTGTGGGACCTGACGCTGATTTTCAATTGACACCTATGGTTGACTATCTATCTTTTGACAACTGACTATCGGAAAAAAAGAAATATAAGAATAAAAAAAACAGAAATACATACTCGTAAAATTATTTAGAAACATAAGTAATAAATACAATTTATCATTTATATCACTTTCAATATTATCATACATAAATTAGATACGTGTATATACATTTTATATTGACAGACACGCACTAGGAACAAAATAAATATATTTATACAGCAACCAAACAACACAATAGTACGTAAACTCACAGAAAGAATATATGTATATATATGCACACACACACTCATACACACACATATATATCCATATAAATGAGAATCACCGCGATATATGCCCATTTCCCGCTTCGCATCAAGAAGATATTGCTTTATTCGATGTTTAAATGTGTAATTCGAATTGATCTGCCTCAATGGTGGTGGGATATTGTTCCATATTTTGGAGGCTGCACAACGGAAAGCACCCCTAAAAGATGCAGATCCATGCGCAGGCTTAGCCATTTGCTGTGAGCATACTCGCCTTTCACGATCTCTCTGAGCTCCAATCCAGTCAAGCTTCTCGTACAGGTACAGTAATGTGACTTAATCACTCCAAAAAGCAGGCAAGCAAGGTGTAGTTTTTCATCGCCTCGACTTCATCTTCAAGATGTGATGGTTATTAAGGAATGGAGTGATGTGTCCTCTAGCCGGTACAGAGAAGCAAAACCGACCACATGCATTCTGAACTCGCTGAATGAGCCGCTCAGTTCTTCCCAGCAATCGTGGGCCATACACAGCATCAGTGTAATTGAGTTTGGATAGAACCAGCGCCTCAGTCAGCTGCACGCGTAAATCCTCAGACAGAAAAGGTCTTATTTTGTAAAAAACCTTAAGGCGATAAAAGCAATTTTTTACTGATTCCGCTATATGATCCTCAAACCTTAAGCTTTCGTCAAAACTCTGCCCCAGATTACGTGCTACCCTTACTCGCTCTATCTTATTCCCCTTCAGGGAAACGCTCAAATCCTCTGGCAGTTTGCTGAGCTGCTTTTTTGTGCCAAATAGCATGTACTTAGTTTTTAAAGGATTTAGCAGCAAACAATTTTTATCAGACCAGTCAACAATTCTGTAAAGATCGTCATTAAGATCTTTAAGAGCATTCATATAATCACTTGGTCTGAATGATATGTATATTTGTAGGTCGTCAGCATAAATGCGGTATTTACATTTTTGTATACACTTAACAATGTCCGCGCAATAAAAAATAAATAGGATTGGACCCAGAATGGTGCCCTGGGGAACACCCCGATCAAGTGGAATAGGCGTAGAAACCCATTTGGATCCATCCGCTAAACATATCTGTACTGATTGGCTCCGATTGCTTAAGTAACTATGGAACCATAATAGTGTGCTTCGATCGAAACCATAGGCGGACATTTTGGAAAAGAGTAAATCCGCATTTATAGCCTCAAAGGCGCGGGAGTAATCAAGCAGAACCAATAGTGTGCACATTCCTGCATCCTGGGCAGCCAATATGTTGTCCGTTACATCAAATTATGCCGTGGTTGTACTGCGTTTCCTTCTAAAACCCGACTGCAATGAGGGAAGAATTTTATTAGTTTCTAAAAACTCAGTGAGTTGGACACAAACAACTCTTTCCAAAATCTTAGAGAGACAGTAGGGCAGTATGCTTATAGGGCGAAGGTCCTTCAGGCAAACTGGGTTGTTGTTCTTTAGAAGCGGTCGCACTACAGCAGATTTCCAGTGCTCAGGAAATGTCGATGTTATTAAAGATTTACTAATAATACCATGAATACACTGTAAAGTGTGCGGTAGGGTCATAGTCAACATTTTCAGTGACATATTATCACAACCGACAGCGTTCGACTTGAGTTTGAGAATTATGCGCAAAACCTCATACTCACTGGGCGGCGCCAAAGTGAACGTTTTATCACATAACCTATGAAATTCAAAATAGGTCAGAGAGGATATAGTGGCGCGGGATGGTCCCGGAACGTTGATAAAATGATAATTTATGCTGTCCACATCACTTAGATGGGAAGAAAGCTCTGCACCTTGATTAGACGGTATTATATCTTTTTTTAAATTTGTCCATAACTGTTGCGGGTCATATATTTTATTTTTAATATTATACTTAAAATAAGCGACTTTTTCACTATGTAACGACGATGTTACTAACGACTTCAATTCCCTATAGTAGTCTTTACTGGATGTAGTCTTATTTTTCCTAAACTCTGCCAAAGCATTGTCACGCATTCTCATCATGACTCTTATATTATCCGTTATCCACGGTGGGGTCGGTTCTCTTATAACACATCACTGGCTAATAGGCGCGTGTGTGTGAAACAAGGATATAATATGCTCATTTAAACCTCTATAAAACAATAATAAATATAAACGGAGTGATTAATCCGCCCCCAAACGTCGTGGTAGAAGTTTGCACTTCATTCTGGTGTGTCCAATCAAAACGCGGATTAGTCTCCTCGAACACTTGTTTGAATTGGCCAAAATTGGTTGAGTATGCGAATTATATTGGAGGTGCTCTTTGTGCTAGCATTACACATCATCATCTGGCTTCACTGCCTGGGGCACAGGGCACTGAATGGCATAGAGAGAATAGGCCGTGCTCTCCCATGCGGCCTTAGTACAGATGAGGAGCTGGCGAACAGAACCGGACTTGTCCAGTACTATTTAAAAAAAGTTTATTTTTCGAATCGTGATGTCTTGACCTAGTTTTGTCGATCCCTGTTAATATTTTCAATCAAAACCGACTCGAAGTAGGCAAAAAACGGCTTTAAAAAGTGCATTTTCAAAACAAAACCGGAGTAGTCCGATATGTAATTAGTCACCTCCATAATGATATTAGTTTTTTAGCCACCGTATAAAATTTATTTTCGTGGACTACTCCGGTTCTGTTCGCCAGCTCCTCAGATATGAGCTGGAGATAATAATTTTTTTTTGGTCACTCATTCAATAATTGGTCATTCTGAAAATTAATTTCACGATAACTTTTACATTTCTATCTAGAAAGCGCTAACCTGCGGTATCGAGCTTCTCAACTACACATAGCGATAGAGATTCACACTCATTAGACGACCTTGGAACTACCTACTACCTTGTGTGGTATGTAATGTGGGTTCGAATCCCGATAGGAGCAAATGTTTATATGAAGATACGAGCATTTGTATGTCGAGTCGTAGCTCTTTACAATATTAATTCTATTAAAATACCTACGTAAACAAGTATTTACATACCTTGAGGACACTAGTATTTGTCTTGTGTTGTCATTGTAGAAAGTAATCCAATGATTCAGTGCATTGTGCTGCAAGAGGTGTGGTATATACCAACATACCGTGAGATCATGAATAGCCGACGATATGATATCGTTGTGAATAGCTCATGCTATGGTGACTGATTTTGTCTTTATATCAGTTTTGATAAAAAAGAAAAATTAAATGGCTTTGCAAAGCAATAGTTGTTCTAGTTATGTGATTTGATACTACGGTATACTCTAATTCTCTTTTAACTGCATTTTTATTAAATAATTTCACATTAACTAACTGATATTCAATATAGACCAAATATATATTTCTAATTTGTCATATTTTATAATGCTGTCACTTTCCTTGCTCTTATCTACTTAAATCTAATAGTAGATTTCAGCAATATGTGATTTAATGAAGTTTTCATTTTATTACCATTGAATTGGTGAAGTGAAAACCTGCATCAAAGTAACTACTTTTCTCGGCAATATAAAAAAAATAAGTTAACAACTAGTTAACTTATTTTTATTATATTGCCGAGAAAAGTAGTTACTTTGATGCTATTATGTTATTAATTAAAACAACAATTTATACCGAATATTAAAAACTTTATTATCATCATCCTTTATATAATTAAAACTTGGTTGGCACAATATTGCAGACATGGTGAAGACGACAATTACATCTACCGGTTAAGCTCCAGACATAGTTATTGATTCCATGATACCTACGTGATACATTGTCATGACATCAACATACAGTTTTTGGACTGTTTATAATAACCGTACCTAATTTTTTTTCGTGTGTATATAGTCTATTGTCATCAATTTAAAAGCTTGTCGAGCTTTATTTCATGCCATTATCACGGAATCAATTTAGGAACGGTACACGTACTAACTGTAAGGCTTCGTTTGGTAAAAAAGACTTAATTTTCATTAGCTCACGCTCCTTTAGCATTTACCTACTTGTCGCTCTTTAAAATACTGTTTGTTCGAGAAAGCAACAGCATAAATTCATAGCTTATATTTGGTCTTAAATGCTGAAGAAACGTTAAGCACATACGAGTAACACCGAACTCTAGATAAGTATTATCAACTTTCTTACTCACTAAATATTCGTATAATTATAATCAGGTAGTTTATTTTTATATTATCTACCTAAGATCAGTACAAGTGAATGAACAACGTTAAAATGTGTACCCATGGGTTATACTAAGTTATACTTAAGCATTAGATATAATGAGTTGTTAATCTTAGTGAATACAATGATTGGAAGATCTAAGTAGCTTAGTTTTGCAATAAATAAGACATTTCGGACTCTTGATCAATCTCTTATATTTAATTCGAATTGTTCGAGTCGCTAGAATAATTTAAATTAAGTAGATCGTTTGAAAGAAATTTCAAGATAATACAACCTGTGCTGGAAGTAAGGCAACCTACACAACAATCTGTTTTGTTTCATCAGAATGTAAATAGGTTAGAGTGTAGTGGAATAGTGACGGTGTTTGAGATCTCACTGTAACATTAAAATGATACAGTTAAAAAGGGGATATTTAAATCTAGTAGTTCTGTAAACTCGCCCGGCGTTCGTCTAGTAATAAATTAGGTAGTATTTGTGGTTATCCTTCGGAACGACAGTGTCAAGAAACCCTTAATTCAATCACATCAGCTTTTACTAGCTTACAAGAGCGCCTTCTTTCACACTTTGATGATACACGTTCATAGTTCGTTTCTGTGTCGTGTCGACTACTAGTTACTGTCTAGTGCATCTATCTAAATTCTATCTACTGTCAGTGCAAAAATATTCGCTTACACGTGTCTTATAAAAATATAATTAAATGTGTGGATATAATGACATTTGTACCTCAGTTATATTTACGGTGTATAGGCCACTTCATTTGATACTCAACAATTTATTTCACCGGAAACGCTAACATCTAGTAACATGATCTGATTATTCTAAGTTTATCATCTAAAAAGTATTTATATTCGGGAACTGTGGAAATAAAATATCTAAGAAAACAAAAATAATAATGGTGATTAAGTGAGTTACAAAATAATACCCACAGCAGAATAAGTAAAACATAAGTAATCTTCAATATTGCCATCATAGATCATTAATAAATTAAAACTAAACGATTATCATTATAACATTACAATAATTATCAATACAAAACGATTCATTATGACTAGGCTCCCTCGGAGAGTGACGATTAAATTAGTGCGCGCTACTATATAACGATAAGCCGAGATTGCTCAGTGGAGATCTAACTACACGCTGCTCATGAATCAACGCCGGAGCCGGCGAGCGATGCATAAAGTCAAAGTAGTATTTTCACTTATTTAAATAAATTAAACGATTACGATTAGTGGAATGAGCGGCGGGGCAGTTATCTGGGCGGCACCTCGCGCGGCGGGGGACTCCTGTATTTGGCCTTTATGTGGAGGAATGGTTTCTTGGTGGCGCTGTCGTCGGCGATGGAGGCTTCTAAAGACAGGCGGATGGTCTCCTCGATGGCGGCCTGCGTGAGGGCGGCACCGCCCAAAGAAGCACTCTTGTTTAACACCCTTATCGGTTCCGGTGTCGTAGCTAAACTCATGCTCCTGGTTTTCTTTGAATACCCGTTGAACAGTTTCTTCGGCTCGTTCACAGGAGTAGAAGCTAAGCTCTGGCTGCGAATTTTCCTAGCTTGGGGCTCAGTAGGCGTGGTAGCAGCACTGGCGCTCTTTTTCGCGCGATTCAATTTCTCCGTGCCACAAAAAGGTTTCGCCAGACTCATGCTGCGCGACTTCACCGGGCCGTCGATCGAGGTGGACAATGATTTTTTGTATTCTACTGGCGGGGTGCGGGCGGACCTGCCCGTGGGCGTGACGGGAGTGCTCAAGCTCGGTGCTGACTGCTTCCTAGTGCGCGGGGCAGGTTTCTGTTCCTCAACTTTCAACGGTAGAGTGAGTGCTGATTTCAGCCTGCGCGTGGGTTTGATGGGGGTGGAGGTGCGTCTAATATTTGGTTTGTCGATCGGAGAGGATTTGCCGCTTAAGGAAGAGGCTTTGCCATCACCGGGGCGGAAGTTGGGTTTGTCGATGGGGGAGGATTTTCCGCTGATGGAAGACGCTTTACTGTCGACGGGGGAGGCGGTGCCGGAGTCGCGGGAGGTTTTGCTGGCGGGGGAGAGGTCTCGAGGGGCCGGGAGGGTAGGTAGAGGGGAGAGGGTGGTGGCTCGGCGGCCGGGGGTGACGAGGCGCACCTGGCAGGGCTCGTGCCGCGACAGGAAGTGCTCCAGCGTGTCCCAGCCGCCGCCCACGCGTACCATCATGTGCCGACCCTTCAGCAGCTGCGAGGGGAGAAAGTAAAATATGAGTTAATGTAATTAGGAATGGAGAAAGTTATAAAAAAATATTGGAATCAAAACAACTATTAGAGTAGAGTAGTCAGTTGTTTAGGGAAGATGACAAAATTAATGCAAGATACTATTGAAGAATAAAATAAATTGGTATTTAAATAAGCCAATTACCAAAACTTTTATTTTATGTTTTTTTCTGAGATTGATATATCGAAATAAAATTTTATCAATATAATCCAACAAATAATAAATATTTCTGAATTTAGATGACATCTCAATCATATCCCTCTTATTTGAAAAAGTGTAAGACAACTAATGCGAAAATTTAAACTTTGCAGAATAAGGCACTATTCAAGTGTGGATATTCTGCTTTCGTGGAGTGCTTTTGTGAAGTCAGTATAAAGTTTACTGATGATGATCATGTTATATACGAACCCGTATGAAAACATTTCTTCCCGCTATATTGTAGCGTCCTTCCCCCACCTTCTTGACCTTGAGCAGCTTGGAGCACTTTCCGGCGCCGCAGCTGCAGCCGCGCTCCATCAGCCGCGTCACCAGCTGCACCTGTACTCCATAAACAAAGATGGAATCAATAGTTGGGTCGGAAGAACCTCGTGAATATTATAATAAATATGGCATCAGAAAACGATAAAGGCTAAAGATTTGACCACCGCACCACTTACCACCAGAATCAAATACATACCATATTACATGGAAACACAGAAGTCTACAACTGTTCGTTTACAGAGACCTTTTATTACAAAATATAAAAAAATACACACCAATTAGCCTAGCCCCAAAGTAAGCATTGTAAGGCTTGTGTTATGGGAGTTAGAAATACATATTAAATATCCGTGACTGGAGTACAAATGCTCATATTCATCACACAAACATCCCACCGGGATTCGAACCCGGGATCTCTCGAGTCGGCGACACCATGAAATCCGGCTTACAAACCACTCGGCCACGGAGGTCGTCGTATTCTACGGTTAATGAAATTATGGTATGAGCTCCCTGGTGTTGTCACAGTGCTATAACATGGTCCTCCTCAAGAGAGGCTTAAATACATTGTTCCACAAAAGCTGTGTCAATGGTATTGCTAATGTCCATGGGCGACGGTGACCACCTTACATCAGGTGTCCCGTCAACTCGTCTGCCTTTGAAGGCAATAAAAAAAAGATTAAAAGGAAGAGAGCACCTTGTTCTATCACCGGGCTGGTGCTGATGTTGCCTGTGTGCCGTGCTAGTTTTTATCTTTGCCAGTACCAGTGTGTTATAAATACCATTGTTTCTGTATACTAATCAAGATACTCCCTTCTACAATTTAAAAACCAATGTAAGGATAATTGCCATTTAAGTTTTTAGTCAACTAGTTCGGGGTTAGCGGGTGCTCGGAAAAAAAATTCCAATTTCTTATACTAATTTCGTCCTGCTGTTGCAAATACGAGAACAAAGAACCCAGAAGCAGTAAATGGTCAGTAAAGCATACATTTAACACACACAATTTTACGCAACTACTACCACTGTTTCCTGATACTACAAGCTACTTATGAATGAAACTATTTATAACTATTATACAATGAAAGCAACTGACCCTCTTGTCCAGCTCGTTGGTGGGCTTGAGGGGTACATCAGAGTCGGTGCTGGCGACGGTTTCCTCAGATTTGGTGCTCTCTGCATCCACGTTGTCGGGAACGGACAATTGTGCTGAAAACAAATATTTAAAATGTCAAAATTACCACAACAATTCTCCTTGAGGCACGAAAGAGATGGAACTTGAGCCTACCTTTCGCTTATTGGGATAGTCTTCATTACATGAGAGTAGGACAGCGAAAGATTACGGATTCAAGTCCCGTCTGTTACTTGAAGCCAAATGAATTGGTTTTCTTTAATCAATACTCAATAATGTTAAAGTAAACGACACACGATAAAGTAAACGACGTTACACGATGTAAATTGTTGCATTATGTAAAATAAAAAAATTACTCACTTTCGTCTTGGTTTGGAGTAGAAGGCGGCACTACATCTTTTGATCTGCAAAAAAATAATAAGTACATAATATTAATAATAATTATTAAGGTCCAATCAAATCACTTCAATATTTTACCCTGACCTATCCCTAATCCATGGAGATCCCGAAACCTTAATTAGAGAAAGGAAAATAACAACCCCAAAATATAGTGTTATTCCACGGTGGTCTTTCGTAAGGAGTAGATGTGCCAGACGTACTTCCTCTTTCCTTTTATTTACGACTAGTTAAGACTAGTAATCAATATTGCTGAGAGTTATAACGTCGAAGTATGAATGAAATTATTTTCTTTGGAACGAATTAGTGAATGATCTTAATTGTATTACGATTACGCTTAAGATTAAATCTTAAGCATGTACAATCTGGATTAAATGGACAAAAATAATATATTTTTTTTGTTTCAATCAGAAAAAAAATGCGTTATATTTGCCGAGACCCCCCCTCTCTCCAACGTAAGATTAGATGAGATTTGACTCGACCCCCTCCCCCCTCTTAAACATCTCACGTTATTTATGGACGCCCCCTTACTTGTCCCTGTGCGGCGAAGCTTCCCGGAATTGCCAGGCGCTGGTGGTGTCGATGCCGGAGTCCCTCTCCTCCAGCGCGATCTCCTTCTCCAGCTGCACGAGCCCCGGCGGTTCCAGCCCCCACCGGCTCGCCAGCCGCGCCACCTCCAGCAGGCACAGGATCACCTGCCGCGGCTGGTTGTGCAGAACTGCGGGAAAGACAACATAACGCTCATATGAGTCGTTCTATTCTTAAATACAGGATAGAAAGGTTCTATCGGGCACAATCGGTCATAATATCTGCAGCCCAAGCATGAACTTTGACTCACCCGTATTCGTAGCGTTTCTATGGAAACTAAGCAGCGCCCCCACCGGACGTTAGTAACAAACTAGTTTTTTCCATAGATATTTTGATATAACGTTAAGAATACTTTCTCGCTAGTTGTTCGTGTTTAGGTAGATACTCAAAACCAGTCATCCTAAGTGTCGTCCACCCACTAGCAGGATATCTAGCATTTCAGCTTGAAGATACTCCCTCGACTTAGGTTTCCTGAGCCGTATACACATTACACATAGCATCAAGAGAGGTGCGTGGATTTGCAAACTTATACATATAACAGCATTGTATCGAGTGCTATCAAGACACATACCCAAGTCATCACTCTCAAAGAGAAGGTTCTCATGCACGCCCAGCTCTCGGCAGAAGGTGAGGAAGTTCTCCGCGTTGTCACGCGAGAAGAAGCTGCGCCGCGCCGCGCGTTGCCAGCACCGCCCCTTGATCTGAGGCACCGGCTGCGCAACACACAGAATTACATAAATAAATACCTGAATTAACAAAACTTTAACCAATCAGATAATAGGAAGAGACGCTTTACTACATGCGACTCCATAAAGATAAGCATAATGATTTAATAGATCATGAGTCACCATGACATACGACACCAGGGTGACCTGCCCATTGATCTCTGGGGGTCAATCGCCTAACGGCGGCTCCTACCTAAATACCTCAGGCGGCTAGAAATAACAAAATAAAATCGTAAGCGTTAGCGTTTTCCAAAGCATTTCCGTTAGGCGATTGGCCCCCTGGCCTTATTCGAAAGAATAACATGCTGATTATAGAAGACTACACACAAATAATGTTAGTGAAGATGTGTTCTAGTGATTAAGTTAGGTTGCAGGAGCTCCACGGGCTGTTACTGGATGGCAAAATAAGAGTGGCAGCAGCTATCTTTGCACTAGGTATAAGTGTCACCGCACACGGGCCACACGCCACAGCCACAAATGCGCCGCCACGAGAAGCTAGAAGCGGCTGAAGCGCGCGACAGCGGCCGACTAAGGTAAGGGAGATAGGGGTGGGGAATCGCGCCAGTGACGTGTGGCGGCGTTTTATATAGGCGCATTAAGTGGCCGGTGCAGACCACAAGAAGCGAGCAACAACGATTTGTAGCGTGTGGCGGCCACCTGCGTACCGTGTGTGAAAACTACAAGAAATATGCCGGTGGCGGCGTTTTGTGGTTGTGGCGACACTAAGACTTAAAAGCAGGTGGATGAAACTGGTGCCGTTTAAGTTCTGGTAGATTCAACCCCACCAGAGCAGCTAGATGGCGCAAATGGTGAGCGCCTTCGGCTGCGATTGTTGAAGTTAAGCAACTATCGCCAGTGCTGCCAACTCCAAAAAATATTCCATGCTAAATCGACGTTAAAAAAATGCCAAAAATATGCTAAATTTTAAAAAAATATGCCAAAATATAATGCTAACCACTAATGTCCATTACCGATATTTGTTATATAAGATTGTAACTGTAATGTATGTGATAAAATATTAGTGACAATTAGTAACAATACAATTATAAAAGATATATTAAGTTTAATGTTGATTAGTTATACAACCATTCTTTAAATTCTATCATTAATACCCACTCCGAACGTTTATGCTGAGTATATTCCGCAGTCATTGTTAAAATAATATTAGAAACAGAACAATACAAAATTACCACTACTACACGTGTAAATGTATTGTTTGTTTGCTAGCCAGCCAATTAACTAATATGATAATTAATGATTATCTAGTTAGTAAGTTGGCTTAATCATAAAATAACAATTCATTAATTCATTCATCTGTTTTTCAATTCGGGGATCCTCGCATAGTAAAGACAACGAAACGAGCGACGCATAGACTAATTAAAATAGTTTTTGAACGACAGTGAAGTAGCAACTAGTGTGATATTTTTTATCGTTAATGGCTGAACAACAAAAAATTGATAAAACAGTGCACCGATTGGAGAGCGGTCACGGCAAAAATTGAAACGTAATTTAATAACGTAGCATTTCATTTGTATTAAGTTACAAGACAATATGCTAAAAAATATGCTTCATGCTAAAATGATTTTTTTAAAGCTAAATCACTTAAAAATATGCTAAATTTAGCCATAAATATGCTAAATTGGCAGCACTGACTATCGCAGTGGTCGGTCATTGGAAAGGTGACCAAAAATTAACTGCCTCGAGCTCGTCCGTGCTTCGAAAGGCACGTTAAGCCGTTGGTCCCGGGCTCCCGGCTGCATTAGCAGCCGCTGGTACGCACCAATCCACACTGGGCGCGCGTGATGGGTCATGGCCCAATCTCCCTATTCCATCCATAGCGAAGGTCTGTGCCCCAGCAGTGGGAACATTAATAGGCTGATGATGATGATGATGAGACTCACCCCCACGATGAGGCCCTGGTCGAGGGCTTCGCGCGCGCGGTCGTGTATCACAGCCGCCAGCTGACACAGCTCTGCACCGTTGTCCAAAACGTCCAAGAAGTTCTCTCCGGTCAGATACGATATTCCTGGGAACAAAGATATAAATATATGTTTAGAGCTTTGATGATTTACTCTGTGAGGTAAGTTATTCATCTTTGAGGCTGATCGCAGATGCCGTTTTTAGCACGTCCGCTGTATGAAAAAATAAGCGCGCGCATAGTGCGCAGCTCTTCGCGACGAGCATGAAAGTTGGAGGGTAACTCGGCGAAGGCTGAAACGCTACGAGCGTCACACGCAACAATATTTGAGTGATGCGTGCCCTGCTCCATTCCCCTATGCATTATACACTCCCTAATGTTAGGTTATTTAAGAAAAGAAGTTTCACTTCAGATGTGTGCTCCGTGCACACATTTTTTTTTCTTATGTATACATTAAATTTTACCTAAATTCATAGTAACCTGAGCGTATAGAAGGCTGTGGGGACTCAGAGCAGTACCCCTAGCACGAACCATTATCGAATTCGAATAGTTTGCTAGTCCGAAATGTCATTGTCAAATATGTACTGATTTTTAGTTCTTGTTACGTTGTTTGTGGCGCTTCTGTTCAAGTTTCTATACAAAATTTGACATTGACATTTCGCACTCGCATACTATTCGACTTCGATAATGGTTGTCGCTAGGGCTACAGGTAGCAAAAAAATTGGAGGGCAGAACTTTCTATCATCTAAGAGTAAAAATTGTACGAATCTGTCAGACGTTTGATTGTCGATGGTTTATTACAAAAGTTTATTCCTATTTATCCGCTTGGTAAGTAATTTGGTAAGTAAATTATATTACATGATTAATTCCATAACATAATGGATAAAGGTCAAATCAAGTAAAAAAAATGGATAAAACGCAACAAATTTATTATTGGATTGAGATGTTGGTAGTTGGGAATGTAAATTAAACGGCCTTGGGTGACGTTATTATAGGATATTTCATTATTTATTGACAGCTTTCGAATAATGGACAAGCATAGCTGCATAAGTTTTGAAAAGTTGGACTAAACTTCAGAAATCAACTAAGATTTTGGTGATATTATAAAAAACCGGCCAAGTGCGTGACGTGCCACGCGCAGTGTATAGTACAGTCAATCTGTCGAAAAAAAATCATTTCAGTGAAAAAAAACCTAAAGGGTAAGTCTTGTTTTTTTCAGTTGCCAAATGACGTCAGTAAGCCACCTTGGCGATGGGCATGTTCAACTCGTAGGCGTTTTTTGAAAAACTCAAAAAGATCCTCAAAAATTTTTTGAAACGCATTTTTCTTGTTTTGTATGCATTTTAGAAACTTTTTTTTCGACCATAATTGTAGAGGGCATTGAGTACTACAATTTATGTCATTGTTGCAATCTCGTACAACAAAAAATGCGCATTGTAGGTGGCGCTAAAGTCTCAAAAAAGTGGTTTTTCACTTTTTCACCCTGAAAATATCATTTTAATGGAAAACTTTAAATGGCAAAGTTTGTTCCGTACATAATTACCAACAACTTTTGTATACACAATTTTTTTGTATTACTTACCGTTTTCAAGTTATAAATTGCGCAGGTATGAAAAATCCAATAGAGCGGTTTTGGGCAGTTCAAGTACACATTTGCAGTGCACATTTCAATGTTTTACTATTTTTAAATTTTTTTCATGATTGTAATAATGAAAAGAAAAAGTCTCCATAGGACCGAAAAAATTACCGTTAGTAGCACTGTGTTGTATACGTAGCGCTGTATTGCACTGTAACTTGAAAACTGTAAGTAATTTAAAAAAAAATGTTTATACAAAAGTTGTTGGTAATTATGTACGGAACAACTTTTCCATTTAAAGTTTTCCATTAAAATGATATTTTCAGGGTGCAAAAGTGAAAAAACACTTTTTTTGAGACTTTAGCGCCACCTACAATACGCATTTTTTGTTGTACGAGATTGCAACAATGATATAAATTAATTGATTATAATTGTAGTACTCAACGCCCTCTACAATTATGGACGAAAAAAAAGTTTCTAAAATGCAAACAAAACAAGAAAAATGCGTTTCAAAAAATTTTTGAGGGTTTTTTTGAGTTTTTCAAAAAACGCCTACGAGTTGAACATGCCCATCGCCAAGGTGGCTTACTGACGTCATTTGGCAACAGAAAAAACAAGACTTACCTTTAGGTTTTTTTTTCACCACTCAACCTACAGATTGACTGTACTAGTAGGGTTCCGTAGTTGCCTGTAGTAACCACAATATATTTGAGCAGGAGTATTTATTTTTTATATCGGAAATTAGAATAACTAATTAATACCAATCTATGTATCTCAACTAAAATTCCTAAATCAAAGTCAAACTGCGTCTCAAACTCAAAATTATTTCTTTTTTTTTTACATTCTTTTTTTTCCCCCCCAGGCGAGGGAGCGGGTGTGAAATCCTCATTCAAGCTTCATCTGAAGCGATCAATCGATTTTAATAGATTTTATTTTTAAGAATAATCGATTAATAATCGATATTTTTAATAATCATTCAAGCAATTACTGATTTTTCATCTATAACTCCCCGACTTTGTTTATTTGGTTTGAAAAAATCGTCGGTTATACCGCACTTAAAGACTAATTTTGTCTATGCTCATATAATTTGCCGGCAAAGATATAATAATAAAAAAAATGTGAAATGTTTTAGAAGAAGCCAAATGACATTTTCACCTCTGAAAAAGAGGCTCTGCAGCAAAGATCTAGCTTTAATTGGAAACAAAATTATTTCCTGCGTGGGCAAAAAGCTGATCAAGAAAAACAGGCAAAATTTAACAAAAATCGGTGAAGGTATATTTTTTACATCAATACTCCAACTTTAAATGACTCTATCATGAATTTTATAGCTGTTCAGGCAACTGATTACTATCGAGAAATTCATAAAAGTATTTCTGATATACGAGTATATAGCAGATTTACAGACGCTTAAAGCAAAATATCATATCACGCAGATTGCTATAACTTGCTTATGAATTCTCGTCAACTGAATAAAGCTGAACAGAAAGTTAAACCAAGAATTTTTATGATTGATGCAGCAATGGAACAATTATGAGTACATAGAACAGAATGACGATTGTAAATTTACGATGTAAGAGCTGAAAAATTATCATTACAGAGCATATTCCAATTGAAAAAACTTTAAGAGAACGATCAATAATCTTCTACCATGATGACATAGTTAAATCAAGAGTTGGATCGAATGCCGTTATGTTATTTCAAAAACATGAACCATAATATTTTAACTGAAATTTATTAACAATCAAAAACATAATAATAAAAACTGGCTAAGTGCGAGGTGGACTCGCGCACGAAGGGTTCTATTATCATTAGACACTAGAAAACAAAATAACATGTTAAATGTTGTATGGGAGCCCCCTCCCCCTCAGAGAGAGAAAGGCCTCTCCTAAATATTTTATTCTATTTTTAGTATTTTATTTAGTGTTGTAGAGGAAACAGATATACGAGTACATCATCTGTGAAAATTTTAACGATCTAGTTATCACGGTTCATAACATATTGCCTGGTGAGGGACGGACAGACGGACATTAGTAGTGGTTTTCTTCTTCGGAACCCTAAAAAACAGAGAAGTTTCATATATAATTTCATATATAAGCGCAATCTCTTCACAGTGTTGGTAACCCACAATATCAAATGAATACCTTTAGAAGTATTAAACATTTGAAAGAAGAAATACCAATTATAGCTATATTTTTATTTTTTTAGCATTTATCTGCTAGATGTTTAAATTTAAAGAAAAATTTACTTAAATTATCATGAAATCAACGATATTTTATTAAATATCGTTGCATGAAACTAGCTGTTCGATGCTTGTCGGTCACTGTGTATTCCATAACCATAACGGCACGCGTCGGGAGCTCACCGTCCGTTAGATAATCGAGTACATAATTAACTTAAGCTAAAGTACTTTTTGCTACAATTTACTGTAAACGGGGTAATGTATGTCTTAATAAATTATGAAACGGTCTCGTTTTTATTAAGAAAAAGAAAAATGTAGGGAAACAGGTTTAATAACAGCTCGCCATTAGTAGGTTTATATACATTACCTAGTCTATTTGGTTTTGATACATTTTTGCATTTACAATATTTTTAAATACAATCGTGTTCTTCAATATCTGTATTGATTATTTGTTTTAAAGTTCACTCTCATTTATGTTGTCAATTTCGTGATTATAATTACATTATATTCAAAACATTTCATGTTGGGTGGGTGATAAGCATTTGGAACCTGATTAATTTGTACTGTGAACAGGGTATGTCAAAAGGTAGATACAATTAAAGTAAATGAAAATTAACTTGGCTATTACTTTGCTTAAATGAATTATTATAATAACTTTAATTTGAGATAGTATCTTCGCTCTAATAGTAAATCTCATTCTTTCGAATTATCAACAAGGAAAATCGACCGTGCTTGTCTACGGAACTCTTGACTCGAGAGTTTTAAAGGAGCAAGCAAAGAGTTTTAACACGCCGACTATTAAAAGCTCTTTGAAACTAAATAAAAGTACTTTACGTTAATGGCAAATGAATATCCAATGTGAGAAAATATTAGTCAAAAAGCAGAAATACCGATCAAAAATACACTATTTATATCGAATAACAAAATGATGGAGTATTAATTATAAATATTTCCAACGCTTAATAGTGTACGACATCATTTCAAATCGCGTATCTAAGAGTATATAACTGTGTTATAATTCTTATCGCGTTTGGACTTTATCACCACTTAACATCAGGTGGGGTGGAGTCATTTGCTTACCTGGCTATAAAAAATAAATATATATCACACAAATGCCAATTTTTTATAAAGAATACGAGCCCATAAAGTAGGTTATAATATATTATGTATACACAAGAGCTAATATCTTGGCAGTAAAGGTTTATTACCCCAGCGTAAGACGCGTGTAACTAGGTGAGGGACCGATGGACGGACGAACCGACGGACAATCGCATTAGAATGTGCACGCATGCATCAGCAGAATGCGACGACACGCCCGCGTTACGTAAGCAGCACGGTTGCCACCAATGTGCT